AGACGCAGATATTATATCAATATTACAGTAAATTAAAATTGAACGAATTCAAAAATATATTTAATTTATGAAGTAGACATTATATCAATATTACAGTAAATTAAATTGAACGAATTCAAAATATAATTTTTATTGAATTTATTATGCCGAAAAAATTACCGGCCGAAAACTTTTTCGGCTAATTTTTTTATAGGTGTCCCAGGAATAATGAAAACAGCTGTAACATTAATTATCTACATCGAAAAAGTGTTTTTACCGTCATAAAACTTAAATGTAGATGTGATTGTATGGAAGGAATTTTACTATTAAAAAACATCTATAAATTTAAAAGTATGTGTGATAGTGATTATAAGCATTTGTGACTATATAGAAGGGTTTTTAATAACAAAAAAAAACAGTAATCAAAAACCGTGTGATTGTATGGAGTTAGTGATTATATGGGAGGTGACTATAGGGAGGGACGACTGTATTTAATATGATCATAATAATAAATTTTTTTATTACCTACCAGTATTTGTTAAAAATTTATTACCGGTATTATTTTCGTAACTATTTAATGTGTAATAATTAAAGAGAATGACTATTTCCACCCCCCATTTTTGCTAATGCCACCCCCCAGATATCAAAAGGTGCTCTGGAATAGATATTCTTATTAAGTAAACCCTTCTTTTGATCTTAATAAAAGTTGTTCATCAGGCCTTTCCGGTTCTAATGGTAGTAAAATCATTATACTCAGACCAGTAGTTTCTAAGATATTTATATCCGAAGTTAGCTAACTTTCATTCACTTTTTAGAAAAAACTACCAGTCCGATTTTAATGATTTTACTACCATTAGAACTGGAAAGGCCTGATGAACAACTTTTATTAAGACCAAAAGGTAGGTTTCTTAATAGAAATATCTCTTCCGGAGCACCTTTTAAATTTTGGGGGGTGGCATTAGCAAAAATGGGGGTGGAAATAGCAATACTCTAATTAAATACGTATCATTTTCGTAATTATTTAATGTGTAATAATTAAATTATTATTTTTTCGACTATTTAAGGCATCATAAATAATATTTTTTTTAATACGTAACGGTAATAATTATTTAGAAAATTATTTGTACACGGCGTGTTTAAATACGGGTATTAACTAATTGATTTACAAATTCTAAATCAAAAATTAAACCTGATTTAATGTTAAAGCAAGATTAGCTTTAGGTAGGGATGTTAACAGTCCGGTCTGGTCCAGTCTGGTCTATTTTGGTCCAGGTCTGGCCTGGTCTATTATGGTCTTCATCCTTAACGTTAAGACTTTGTTAATCCAGACCGGTCCGGTCTTAAGACTTAGAGCAAACCAATTTTTTTCGAGTTTAGACCGGTCTTAAGACTAACCATGATCTATTAGTCTAAGACTGAACCACATAACACCCTAGCTTTAGGGTTATAATTTATACTAAAATTTTGCAAGGAATCTTTTTGTTAGAGTCTCAGAAGTGTGTTTTATAATCAAATTTTGAGATATCAACATACATGTGTTCAAACACCCCGTGTACAAATAGTAATTCCCAATTATTTATTGTGACACCACATTACAGAATACGAGCCTTGTATTACTTAAATAATGTATTTCACATGACAGAATAATTAAGACTCGACTTCCGGAGTCGGGACCGGACTTTTCACATCCCTACCTGATATAATTTTAACCAATATCGCCATAAAATCACGTGATTATTGACCACTAAAAGATTATAATTTAGTGTAACGTGATACAACTCGCAATTTATGACACCGTTATAAGTATCATGATTGGCTAAAATTAAAGACTAATTTGCATACGTATCATCGAAATCGTTACACTCACAACTTTACCATCTTTCACGACAGGGATGTTAACAGTCCAGCCTGGTCTATTTTTGTCTAGCCTTGGTCCAGTTTTTAATAGTCTACAGTTTTAAGAATTGACCGTCCAGACCGGTCTGGTTTTAAGACTAAGAGCAGACTAAATTTTTTCAGCTTAAGACTAACCATCAGTTTAGACCAGACCACATAACATCCCTATTTCACGATAATACCTTGCTCACGTGAAGTTCAAACCTTTTACCCCCAAAAACATGTCATTTTATCCTATTTATTCTAATTAAAATTGGTGGAAACATTCGATACCATTAGATCCCAAACGCTTATATGAAAAATACGTTTTCAAATTATAATTTCAGATAGACTTAATTATAAGTTTTTATTTGCTATTTACGGGACCATTTTTATAAAAAATTTGTGTAACATTGTTACCTAACTTCCGAATTATTTCACGGATTACTAAATTACTTTGATAGTTTATAAAATAATATGTAAACTTTCTAACTTTTTTGTTTTACCCCCGGAATTCATATATGTGGTTCAAAATTCAATCTTGTGACAAAAAATCGTTGCTTTAATAAGACTTCATTATCCCTTACACCGTCAGGCCAATCCGCAGTCAATATAAAGTCTGACGTGACTTAAAAGATAAAATTAAAAACATAATAAATTTCACATGACAGGATGAGTTTTTACTAATAAATAAATAACATTTTTTATTTTTACCTCTATTAAAATCACATTTTTTATTTTTAATATAAGCTGTGATTTTATAGAGGTAACCTTTGTATAGTCACACTTCTTTACAATCACCCAAGTGGTATGTGCCCAACTGTGTGATTATATGGGAGGACGACTGTATAACCAATGCGGAAACTCAAAATAAAATTATGAATCAAGATCTTATAACCTGTTATTATCTCTTTGGTAAAGCTCTATCGGAACGGCTTGAACATCACAAGAAATCTAATCCTCCATATGTTTCTTTGTTGTTAGTTAATGAAGAAGTTAAAGAACAAATTCCCAATATTACAGATACTAAAAGTAGAAAGATCACGAAAAATTTATAAGCTTTTTCTTAATATTGGAGAGGATAAGATTCAAAGAATTAGATCTTTCAGTGCGTTGACCATTTCAAAATTAAGAAAAGAGGATATTGATAGTATTATACTTACTATTTTGAAACAAAAAAACCAATCTACTGCGCCAATCATGTGAGATCACATGTCCTGACCCAGTGGTCAGGATTGATATCGATAGTATTAATACTTCATATACTTATATAAAATTAATAAAGTTTTTATCTATCGCTATTATTTGATTTTTAAATGTGTTCATAAAATAAATTATCTTTATGGGGATTATAATTTGTTTGCAGGTTTGTATAATAAAAAAAATTAGCCACGTTGTATTTTTTCTGTTAATATATTACAATGAAAGATCAGAATAGCATACCTGCATATACAAATAAAAAAAGTCAAAATTATATCGAAAAGTGGCATATCTTTAAGAGGTTGGAAGCATGGGTGACGAATACAATCATCAGTCACACCTATATTGTAAAACGTGTAAAAAAGTAGCAGATAGAATATATAAGCGATGTAAATGTGTTGTTACAGTACCGTGGCCTTCTTAATAGCAGTACTATAACAATGACACAGCTACAGAGATCTTTTACAGATTTATAGCAGTGTCTAACAAGTAAGTATAATTTCTACTACAACTAGAAACTATACCCTTCTGTCTGTGGCAGTTCAG